ACCTATAATTTCACCATCATTGACATAGTTGTACCCTCTTGGGTAAGATACTTCCATTTCTTCAATGGTTGGATTCTCGAGAGAATCATGAGTTTTCTCATCTTTCGTTTCTTCCTATGATAATGGTTCTCCAACGTCATGTCTAACGTCATTTGTATTTATAATGCCTACATCATCATTCACACAAGAATCCTTCCTAGGAAGAATATTATCATAGAAAACAACATGTATAGACTCTTCTACAACTAAAGTTCTTTTATTAAATACTCGATAAGCTTTAGAATTCAAGGAATAACCCAGAAAAATTCCTTCATTACTTTTAGCATCAAATTTGCCAAGATTGTCTTTACCGTTGTTTAAAACAAAACATTTACATCCAAAAGGATGAAAATAACTAATGTTAGGCTTTTTATTTTTAAAAAATTCATATGGAGTTTTCTTCAAAATAGGCCTAATCATTACTCGATTTATAACATAACAAGTGGTATTTGTGGCTTTTGCCCAAAAATATTTTGGCAAATTGTTTTCACAAAGCATGGTTCTAGCCATTTCTTCTAAAGTTCGATTTTTCCTCTCAACAACTCCATTTTGTTGAGGGGTTCTAGGTGCTGAAAAATTATGGCTAATACCATTAGAATTACAAAAATCAGTAAATCCAAGGTTTTCAAATTCAGTTCCATGATCACTCCTAACACTAGTTATAGAGTAACCTTTTTCATTTTGGATTACTTTTGAAAACGTGATGAATTTTTTTGATGCTTCATCTTTAGTACTTAGGAATAGAACCCAAGTATATCTAGAATAGTCATCTACCAAAACAAATGCATATTGTTTTCCACCCAAGCTAATAGTTTTAGATGGACCAAAAAGATCTAAATGGATCAATTGTAATACTCTACTATTGGACACGTCATTAATGGATTTAAAAGAAATTCACTTTTGTTTTCCTTTAGCACAAGCATCACAGATTTTATCATTATCAAACTTTAGTTTAGGCAACCCTCGAACTAAATCACCTTGAATTAGCCGTTGCGAAACACTCATACTAGCATGTTCAAGTCTCCTAAGCCATAACCAACTATCATGCTCATCCTTAGCAACTAGGCATAAATTAGTCATATCTATAGAATCTAAATGCACCATGTAAATCTTTCCTATGCTATGACCAACAAGCATAATCCGATTAGATGCAATGTCAATAACTTTACAACCATTAGTTTCAAACATGACATTGAATCCCTTATCACAAAATTGACTAATACTCAAAAGATTATACTTTAATCCATTCACATATAAAACATTTTAAATTTGTATGGAAGAGGTATTACCTATTGTACCTATACCTTCAATGTGACCTTTTGAATTATCACCAAAAGTCACCTCTCCTCTATTTTTGGCGTTAAGCTCTATGAACCGGCTTTTGTCCCCGGTCATGTGTCTTGAGCATCCACTATCAAGGTACTATGAGTTTGAATTTGTTTTCCGTGCCTTGTAGCAATGCTCTTTTTCCTACAAACATAGATTAATTTCTAATTTTTGGTACCCAAATTCTTTTGGGTCATATTCATTAGTTTCCAAAATCCTAGTCCCCTTAGGTATCCATTTGTGTAGGATATCCTTATCTTTAGTAGTAATGAGTTCTTTAGGAACCCATATACTTCTAATGACTTTTCTATTTGAGGTTCTTCGGGGGACCTCTATGATTGCAGTTTTTAAAACTTTTTCTAACAAAGTTGGATTTTGAATTTTCTCCATTTGCAAAATGTTTTGTTCCAACTTTATCAAAAAAAGCTTTATGATCATCAATTTTCTTTTGATGATCATCATTGACCTTTGAAAGTAAATTTTACAAATCCGAATTTTTCTTTTCAAACTCTTCTAGTTTGATTTGCAAATCTTTGATTTTACTTTCAAGATCGTTGTTGGTTTTGGATATGAGTTTATTTTCATTTTTCAATTTTGAAATATCATTTTTATATTTTAAAAATAATTTCTCATAATCCGAAGCCAACCCATTATATTCCTCTAATAACTTATCATAAGATAAATCATCTAAAACAGATAAGTTAAAGGTTACCTTAGAATCTTCCCCGAATGCCATCAAGCACAAGTTTGCTACTTCTTGTTCCTCTTCATCGGAACCTTTTTCATCGCTCTATGTAGCCACGTGAGCCTTGTGCTTACTCTTTGATTGACCCTTCTTCTTAAATTGTGGGCAATCATATTTGACATGCCCCGATTTTTTGCATTCATAGCAAATGATCGAGTCCTTCTCTTTTGGTTCATTTTTGAAGCCTTCATTTCGTTTGAATTTTCTTCCTCGGTTAGGCCTCATCATTTTTCTGAACCGTTTGGCAAACAATGTCATTTCCTTGTCATCATCATCTTCATCCGAATCACTCTAATCTTTTGTTGATTTGAGAGCAATTCCTATGTTATTCTTCTTCTCCGTCTCCTTCTTTGGCTCTTCTCTTTTCTCAAGGTTTTCCTCTTCTTTAAGCATCATTTTATGCGTGAGGAGAGAGCCAATAAGTTCATCGAGGGTCAACAATTTCAAGTTCTTAGCCTCGATGATCGCCGTCTTCTTTGATTGCCAAGCTTTTGAAAGAGAGTAAACTAACTTCCTTACAAGCTTGTCATTTGGAATGATTTCTCCATATGATTTGAGGCTATTGACAATCGTGGAGAATCTATTCGTCATAGCTTTGACATCTTCATCCGGTTTCATCCTGAAATTTTCATAGCTATGAGTTAGAAGACTAATTTTAGATTATTTTACCTCGTTTGTACCTTCATGGGTGACTTGTAGTTTGTCCCATATCTTCTTGGCGGTTGTGCAAGATGAAACTCTCCCATATTCATCTGGTCCAAGAGCACAAAAGATAATATGGATAGCTTTGGAGTTGAGCTGGAACATTCTTGTCTCTCTTTCACTCCATAACCTCGGGTGAGTGGAGGGTTTGATGTATCCATATTCTATGATATTCCATGCTCCCATGTCGCTTGCTTGAATGAAATACATCATCCTATTCTTCCAATAAGCATAATTAGCACCATTGAAGAAAGGAGGTTTGTTAACGGGCAATGAATCGAGACCGAAGTCGGAGTTTGAAGTATCGACCATTGATGACTTTGAAAATTGATGTAACTCTTCCCGAATCGACTCAAGAGGCGATTAAACCTTCAAATGAGTAAGGCTCTGATACCAATTGTTGAGTTAATCGATTGATGGAATCGGCCAAGAGGGAGTGAATTGGCAAAAAATTTTGGTGGAGGCTTTTACAGAAAATTGAAAGTAATTGCACATTGATTTAGAGTGATTCGACTTTCTCAACCAAAGTCTACGTCCACTACCTTAGCTATCCACACTAAGGATTTTCCAACAAATTCACTAATTTTTTCTTTATTTTTAGGACAAAGAGTAACCTTACAATTCCCTCAAGAATTATACCCCAATTCTTGAGCACACTCTTTTTCAAAGAGAAATACACAAATTTGCAAACTTACAAGGAAATCCTCACAAGGTAAGATGTTTGCACAATTCTAGAACAAGAAAAGAACACTAAAAAATAATTACAAATGAGCACAAATGGTGTTCTTGAAAGCAAAATGAATATTGAAAGGAAAATTAGCTTTAATTGCACAAACTTGGTGTTTGATGCTTTCTCTCTTGTTTCTCTATGATTTCTTGTTGATCAAAGGCTTCAAAACTTGTTTAAATACTCCCTCAATTGATTCTGAACGTTGGGAATGATTAGTGGAGTCAATGGAGCCGTTTAAATGTGAAAACAATTAATAAAACAACTTGGAGCATGAGGGGTATCGGTACCCCTTCATAGGGTATCGGTACCTATGGTGTAAAATTCAAATATTTCGACCGTTATATGCCTTAGGGTATCGGTACCATCTGAGGGGTATCGATACCATTACATGGATACCATTGCATGGGGGTATCGATACCTATGTGGGGTATCGGTACCTTTCGAGCATTCTGTTATTTCTCGGAACCAAAGTGTTCACAGGGGTATCGGTACCCTATAGGGGGTATCGATACCATACTAAATAATTTTTATTTTTGGCTCGAATATGGCTCGAAATAGTTTGTAAAAATTGTTTCAAAAATATTTTAAGATTGAAACTTTATTTTACACTTGAGTAAGGATTGAAATAGACTTTTGAAAGCTTGAAGTAATAATTTTCAAATTTGAATAATTTAATCGAATATATAATTCAATAAAATCTTAAAATTAATTAACACTTAATTTGTTATATTGAAACATCAAAATGTTTTCAACAATCTCTCCCTTTTTGATATAACAAAACATTTTAGTAATTTTAAGATTTTCTAATTTGAAAATCATTTTTGAAATTAAATTTGGAAAATTACTCCCCCTTACTCTAACATTTATCCCCTTTAAAACACTTTAACTTCTCATCATTTTTGTTAAATCAAAAAGAAGACTTTAAAAACTTTAGAAAACAAGTTTTTCCCAATTGATTTTAATTAGATAAAGCTTAAGCTACTAAGATCAAAATCAAGAGAAATGTTAGCCATTAGTTCCATTAGTTCCAATCGCATACCATTATTATGATATTGTTCTATTATTTTAATTTTTTTTAAAAACAACTTTTTTTAAAATCTACTCATATAGAAAAATTCACGATCGCGATACTCGTAATGACCACAATAACGTTTGTTATATTCGCAATCGCAATAAACTCAACACGACCGAAAATGCAACATTAGGAATATAATTTTGAAAAAAATAATTGAGTGATCAAAATGAAATAAAAATGATAGTTGGGATGCTAAACGCATAGTTTAGCCAAAAACTAGTTAGATATCAAAATAAAAGAATGTGATGTTTAGTGGTTAAATAGTAAATAAAACCTTTATTTAAATATAAGAAATACCTTCAAAAGTCCACGGGTTATAAATAGTAATTCTCGTTTGGCAAGACATGGACTAGGAATAAATATCGAAGAGGAAGCATCATAGATACAAAAAGAGAGGAGGAAAAATGAAGGAATCTCTGATATCGTTAGCCTTAGGAGCCTTGTTATTCCTGTTATCGGCGTCAACAACGGCGGCCGGTGTCATCGTACTAACAGAAGAAAACTTCAACGAGCAAGTTGGTCAAGACAGAGGAGCTCTGGTCGAGTTCTATGCTCCTTGGTATTGATTTCTCCATCTCGTTGTTTTTCCCGCTAGATCCCTCATTAATCGATCGTTAGATCTTATTTCCAGTAATTGAAATGAAAATGTGTTTGATTTTCTGAATTTGAATCTTCCGTAAGTCAGTTTTTAGAAAGACGTTAAATGTATGTGATCTCACTTCAGGCTATATGGATTTTGAACGATATAATCGATTTTTTCTTAAATCACAGGTGTGGACACTGTCAGAAGCTATCTCCCGAGTATGAGAAGCTTGCGGAGAGTTTCTCGAAGGCTAAATCCGTCTTGATCGGAAAGGTTAACGATCTATAATTATTCGACTTTGGTTGTTATTACTTATTAGTGTATGAATTCTGAGAATTCATATATGATGAGGTTTTTATTGCTACTTTTATTGATTCTAAAGGTAAGCAATTGCCGATCAATAACTAAACAGGTTTTCTTTGTTTGCATATTATTGTTCAGTGTATTTCGTTTCGAATATGAATTGTGAAAATTACACTGTTTTGAAAAATTGTCTTGATATTTCTATTGGTCTTATTGATGTATGATTATACGAATTTGGTTGTTATTTGTATACCGATTCTCTACGAATTCTGAGAATTTTACTATGATGAAGTTTTTGTTGCTATTTTTATTGATTGGAAAGGTTAGCAATTGTCAATTAATAATTAAACAGGTTTTCTTGTTTGCATATGAATTTGTATTGATCAGTGTATTTCGTTTTGAATATGAACTGTGAAAATTACACTGTTTTGAAAGATTGCCTTGGTATTTATATTGGCCTTATTGAATTTTTTCCCTTGTTGTTTGATGTGGTATAGGTGGACTGTGACGAGCATAAAAGTATTTGCAGCAAATTTGGTGTTCAAGGCTACCCAACTATTCAATGGTTTCCCAAAGGCTCTTTGAAACCTAAAAAGTCAGTCAAGTTTAACTCATGGAAACATAAATTGGGAAGTTTTGATCTTGTTTTGTGTTCTGTAATTGTTGTCAACATTTTGTTTAAAACATTGCTCTTAGTAAAATTATTTTCTCTAGGTATGAAGGAGAACGCACTGCTGAGGCCCTTACTGAGTTTGTGAATACCGAAGGAGGTACAACAAAATTCTTATGTGGTTGCTTACTCTATGGAATTCTGTCTTGATTTCTTTCTTCTGTTTCTGAGGTGATTAGCTGTATGTACATTAATGCACAAAGGCAAAAACCCAGTAGGATTATGCTAAGCTCGTGTATCGTTTTACAGGGACCAATGTGAAAATAACCGCCGCTCCATCCAATGTTGTAATGCTAAATGCTGATAATTTTGATGAGATTGCCCTTGATGAGGCCAAACACGTGTTGGTTGAGTTTTATGCTCCTTGGTAAGCATTTGGTTTATTGATAGCTGCATCTTACATGTCTAAGAACCTCATGTATGCAACAATTTTTGCTGTTGATGTTCTCTTGCTTCGATTCTTTCTACTTAAATGTGTTTTGGCATTTTCTGCTAGGTGTGGCCATTGTAAAAAGCTTGCTCCTGTAAGCATCTATATCTTTTCTCAATAAGTAGGCGTGATTACTCCGGTACAAGTATCAATCTCCATTCTAACCCTCTGCTTTCTTTTGTCTACGTAGACCTACGAAAAGGCAGCAACGGCATTTAAATTGGAAGAAGATGTAATAATAGCTAATATAGATGCTGATAAATATGGCGATTTATCCGAAAAGTAAGTGTAACTTTAGCCGATAAGTTCGGGTTTCCTTTATAAAGGGTGTGGGATTCTGTTGATGCATGTTAAGGCCTGTGCATTACGAGTGCAGGTATGGTGTAAGCGGATTTCCAACATTGAAATTCTTTCCAAAGAGCAACAAAGCTGGTGAAGATTACACTGGTGACAGAGATTTGGATGCTTTCGTTGCCTTCATCAATGAAAAGTGTGGCACCAATCGTGACGCCAACGGGCAGCTAACTTCGAAGGTTAGTAGCTCGTAGTATTCGTTGTTACATCATGTTTGTCATCACCCATTCTTCTGTATGATCTTTGCACAGGCCGGTATTTTGTCAAGTTTGGATCCATTGGTTAAGGAGTTTGTGGCTGCTAGCCACGATGAGAAGAAAACAGCCTTTTTGAAGATCGAAGGGGAAGTCGAGAAGCTTAAGGGCTCCGCGTCGAGGTATTCGATTGGTTTCTCAATATTCAGCTCCATAAGAAAACAGAAAACTTGTTGCCAATTCTTAGTAATCTATTTTGCTAATTGTCAGGTATGGAAAGATACACTTGAAAGCTGCTAAAAACTGCATGGAGAAAGGGGCTGATTATCCAAAGAAGGAGATTGAACGCCTGCAACGCATGCTTAACAAGGTAAGGGCTATGCTTGAAATCCTAATAAATTTTAGTTTTTTTGGTGATTTGGCTGTCACAACTTGACATCATACTTTTCCATTGCTACTATGTTTTACGTAACGTTGTTCCGAATCTTCATTTTTCTCGAAGCATCCATGTCGGAAACCCGTGGCCTGCGCACATATTCGATCTAACCGTGTATTTTTCGTTCTTTGGTGGCAGTCAATAAGCCCAGCAAAAGCTGATGAATTCACTCTCAAGAAGAACATCCTATCAACATTTGCATGAACTGATTCGATGAGTTCTCGACTGCGTTTTCGAGGATCGGTTTTCCAACGATTGCCTCGGTTTTTACCGGCAGCAAATTGTATAGGCCTTTGATTACATGCGTGCAGTTATTGTAAAGAACTTTCATGTGAGAACTATAACTAGTCAGAACAGTGATTTGATTCGGCATTTCTTCGGAGTTTCCCTTTTTGAGTTTCTTTTTCCTTAGTTCGGACAGACGTAAGATTTTATATCAGATAATTTTTTGTTTTTAGCTCGAGTCTTGAACGATGAAGCCAATTGGAAACATTAAATAAACCATTCGTTCTAGACAGAACTACGTCAAGGCCATGCTAGTAGACCAGCTTCTTCCTCTTCTTTGATTCACAATTTCGATAATTTAAGATCGATATAAGCATAGCACAAGCATAACACATTTAACAAATTGTTATACGTTGTCAAATTTTATAGGACTAATTTCATTTTTGACCCTCAAACTTTTAAAAATGGTCATTTCAATCCTGAAAACCTTTTCATCTTTTTTTGCCTTTAAAATTCTATTTGTTTTTTCAAATTGAACCAACGACAGAAAGTATAATATTTTTTTAGAGACGTTTTAAAAAAAATCATATTTTTCTTTTGATTTTTATAATGTTATTTTTTTAAAAATGTTCCTTAAACATAACAAAAATCCTCCAAAATTTTCGAATATTTACTTTGATGGTTAATTAAAAAAACAATCTATGTCTGTAGAAATATATATACTAAATAAAATTAAATTTATAAAGTATAATAAAAATTTAAGGAACAAATATCAAAATTGCACATAAACTTTGGTCTACTATATAATGTGATACATAAGTTTTGATGTGGTGTAATTATGTATATAAAATTATAATTTTGATTCAGGTTGACCACAATTTAAAACATATATGTATATTTGATAAAATATAATAGTTTGTGCATACAATACATAAACTTTAAATGTTATGTTGATAATGATATTAGTGATTTATGAAAAATGAATCAAATCAAAATTTTATGTATAGAATTGCATAAAGTCAAAGTTAATATGTTTAGTGATTTATGAAAAATATGTATAGAATTGCATAAAGTCAAAGTTAATATGTGACATTACATTATATTTTTTGTTAAAATGTAGTTCATGTATAGTTTTAATACGGAAAAAGTACATAAATGATCACGATACGTTGAAATAATTTATTTTAATCATTAAAATTTCAAAAATTATAAAAATATTAGTAGACTTATTAAATGGTTGTAAAATAGTCATTAAATTTTATCGAACTAATATCAAATAGTCAATTATATCTATCAAACAATTAAAAAATAATACTACCAACAACCAGTTGGTCTAGTGGGATGAGACACTAAGTCCCTTAAACAAGGTTAGAGATTCGAATCTTGGCATTTGCGAATGGAGTAAATTGAGTTGGAAGGGTCGCCCTCGCCTCTGCAATACTCGATCTGGATTAGTCGGTTAATTGATCAGATACAAGGGATAATTAAAAAATCTACGAGGTCATGCACATAATGTTTGTTCGAATAATCAATGAGCCCCACAAAAAAAAGAGGACATTTTGTTAGGTGGCTGTGAGCAAAGCTCTCATGGACCATTTAAACAAGGTGATGAATAAAAGAATATAGAAAATTATTTTTTAAAATAATTAAAGAAATATAAAACAACTTTAATATGTTTTCATTTTCAAGAAAAGACGAGACCCATTATCTCTTCTTTCTTTTAATTTTTTTTAGAATAGAGGTCCTTGTACTTTTGAAAAATAACTAATATGACTCTTTTATTATTTTTTCTCTCAATGTAACCCTTTAACTTAGAAAACAAACTCAATGTGACCCTTTGACCTACGTTGTTCAGTCGTTAACCGTTACGATGCTAGTGTGGTAGTTCATGGTACTGACATGACGATATACAATGCTAGCGTGATAGTCCATCTGTCATGTTTGAGTTACCAATTTAGCCCATCTAACATGCCATTCCTCACGTTATCAACCACCGTGGACTTTCATGTCAACATCGTAGACTGTCACATTAATACAATAAACTGTCACATCAATACAATAATGGTAAATGACGAAAAGTATTGGCCAAAGAGTTATATTGGGTTTATTTCCTAAGTTGAATGATCACATTGAGAGAAAATATAATATGAGGGTCACATTGTTTTTTTATGTACATGGACCTCTGATGCATTTTTGCCATTTTTTATTAATAATTTATCTGTTTAGTGAGACGAGATATTAGATTTTTTAGATAAGGTCAAGAGTTTAAATTTTTGTGTTTCAAATGAAGTAAACTGGATTAAAAATGCCTCATGTAATAATTATCTATAAAATTTTATCTAAAATAGTTGATTAATAAATCAGATATAGTCGGTTAAAAAATTCTCTTAATTTTGGGGAAAGCCAGGATGAATTATATATCTATGGTGGAGATTATAAGACTTTATGAGAAGAATAACTTTGTATGGTTTTTATATTGATTATGTTTCTTGTCGTATTCTACCTTTATTCTTCACACTCCTTGCTTCACATTCCTTGTGTCAATATTAGTGGAAACTAAGACAAACACTTTTTAAGGTTTTTAATAGTTTTTAATATTTTATATTTAGATATATTGTATTTATGTTGAATTCTTTAAAAATATTTCTAATAAAATTATATTACAAGTCCCTCCATTATTAATAAGATTACAAATAGGTCATCAAATTCTTAACAAAAATTATAAACGACAAATATGTCGTCATTGGACCATTAAAAATGGAATGAACATTAGAAGGAGCTGTTAGAAAACCCTTCTATTAATTTTCTTATTGGATAAGTTACACCACATGTCATCCAATTTTTAGTAAGTTTGCGAATATGTTACTCAATTTTAAAAGGTCGCTCAATTAATAAAAAAGAAAAATCATTTTAGATTTTGAGATTCTCAAAGATTTGGATTCCATTCGACGATCATAGATGAAGGGACTACTATTGATAAGAGGAAAAAATATCCCAAGACAAAGTTCATTAGACGATGGACAACGTAGATATAGGTTCAAGTTCATAAGTTTCGAGTGATTTCATAACTTTAGAGAGAAATTTTTGAGAATTTAATTCGATGATTTCAGGAGATTGAGATGAATTTTATAATAAATTTATGGGTGTCGACAGTCATTTTTGTCCCGTCCTTTTTATATTATTATTATTATTATAATTATTATTAATAAATAATAATTTTTATTACAATAGATATTTACAAACCGGAACCCATTTGACCCGATCCAGAACCTAGTAGCAAGGGTTTCCCACACTTTTCCTCCAACCGTCCAAGTGTTCCACTCCCCATGTCGCCGCCTCAGTAGAAGACTCCAGAAGAAGCATGGAGAACCGCACACCTCACTCCCTATGGTGAGTCACCATTGTAGATCCGGTGACTCACTAAAATGAACGGTTGTTTGAAGTTTTTTGAAGCCTATAAAAAACCTTGAAAACCTACAAAAAAACAACAACAACAAGAACGCGAAGAGAAGCAACAGACGACTGAGAGAAACGAACAGAGGAAGCAAAAGAAAGGAGAAGAGATCTTACCACCGTTGAAGCTCAAACATCATCGAAAAAGTGATTTCACCGAAGGTAAAATCTCAGATCTAGTTCGATTGACTAGCTTTTAGCGAAAAAGAAGCTTAGATTCGGGTCGAGGGAAAGTCAATCTACGTTTTGAGGTATTTTTATTTTTTTCAGCCACCGTGAATAGTGATCAGTGACCGAAATAGTGACCGAAATAGTGCCCGACGGTGGTCAGAAGGTGGGTGGCCGGCCGGTGACCGGCTCTCCCTCCGGTGAGGGAGTTTAGAGAGAAGGGAGAGTTTCTCTCTCTTTAAAGAGAAATAAAATGAAGAAATGAGAGAAAATGAGGATTTTATACCATTTAAGGTCTATTTATATTCTCCTTAAAACTACGTCGTTTTGGGGAATGATTTCTGCGTAATTTCTTAAATGCGCAAATCATGTCTGTGGTCCCTAGACTTTGTATGCATTACAATTTAGCCACTGGAATTGATTTTTGTGCACTATAATTTGGTTTTTAGATTTTATTTTATTTTAATCATTAATCACATATTTACATATATTTAGGGTAAATAACATATTTAGTCTCTGATGTTTTAATTATTTATATTTTAATCCCGAATAGTCATTTAGGGTTAAATTACACTATTAGTAATTATATTTTATAATATTTTGAATTAAGACCATTAATTTATATATTTTTACAATTTAATCACTGAGGTTTAATATTTTAATTTTAAATAATATTTTAGGATTATTTACACTAATAATACCTAGATTTAATGATATTTAGAATTAGGATTTTTAATTTTGATATTTTACAATTTTAATCCTTTAGTTTTAAAATAATAAATTTAAATATTATTTTTAGAATTATTTACTATTATAGTACTTTGCATATTAAGTATTTATTAATAGTAACCTAAAATTTTATTATTTTTAATCATTTTCATTATGCATTACATTTTTCATACCATGGTGTTGATTCATGATTGATGTTCATATAGAAGGCTAGAAATATAGAACGAAGAGTCCTATATGAAGTAGAAAATAATGCAGATGTATCTGTAATACGTTTAAAACTTCGTTTTAGTATAAAAGTTGTTCTAAGGAATCAGTTCAGTATCAACACCTTTTTGCATGCATGCATTTGCATTGCACAATTCGCATTCTTATTTTTGCATTTATGCATTTTTTACATTTTCATTTTACATTCACATCTTTGCATTTGCATTTGCATCTTTACGTTTGTATTTACATTTTCATTTTTTACATTTGCATCTTTGCATAGTTATATTTATAGTTTCAATCTTACATCATGCATTTGCATTTTGTTTCAAACTATTTTACATGCATTTAATCATGAAAATATAGGAATAATTCATGGAGAATTCCATGACAGAATTTTGAAATCAAATTGGAGCTAACTTGGTCTTCCTAAAGAAGGATAATATCCATGAATGAGATTTTATCAAGGATCGGTAGAATCGAGAAACTGCAAGAGCAACTTATCAAGACTCAACAAGAGATGATTGATCAAGTAAAAAAGTTCCAGGGTGATTCAAATGAA